AATTTCTTAGTCGTTTGGGATCCTTAAGCATGCAAAAGCTTTGAACAGGAGGGTCCACAAAGGAACCAGGGTTGTCTTATGGCATCCAGTTAAGCCAGAGCTGGGAATGCCTCTGGGTCATCCACATCAGGGGCAGAAGCACTCGACTGAAAAAGAAATAAACCAAGATTAACAATTCTCAAAATTTATAAACACACTACCAATGCCAGCATTTAGAAACAGAACTCTCAAAAAGAAGCTTAAACATTAAAATACTAATTAAAATGTAGAAAACTCTTACTTAAAAGCAAAAATCATAAAATAGAACTACAAATATCTGTAGTGAGCCTCATTAATTTCTATCAAAACCTATAAAAATCTAACCATGTGTAAAAGTGCAAAGCAGGTATTAAAACTAATATTATGTCCAATATTTAAAACCAATTTGTAATTGGGAGAACATCTAAATCCTTAATCAAAAAACACAAAGTGAAGAAAGCTTTAACTGGCATACACTGTTCACAACTATATTTCAAGTTTGGAATAAAAATCCCCTAGTAACAGSATGGATTGTTTTAAATTATTACAGGTCTGTTTAGATGGGATACGGACTTTTTTTTTTTTGCGCTTTATTGTTTACTATTCTTGTACTTTTTCCACTTGCTCAAGTAAAAAAGCATCAATATGAAAGCTGGTCAAGAAACCAATTAGCTGCTGGGAATCACAGTGCACACCTCTAATTCCAGCATCTCAGGAAAGTAAGGCAAGAGGATTGCATGTTGAGTCCAGCCTTGGCAACTTAGCAAGACCTTGTCTGGGGTGTATATAGCTCAATGATAGGGTCCCTAGTTCAATCCCAGTCCTCGAGCCTCCCCCACCCCCAAAATCAATTAGCAATCTTTAAGCAGCACATTCATCAATGCTGGAAGGGGGCTCAACTGCTATTTACAACCTAAAGTACAAATAACAACAAATGTAAAAATAATTCACAGGGGCATATATAACACATTTGTCTTTAAAAAGAAAGTGTCAGGAAAAAAAATAAACTTCAATAGATTATCATTGATAACTATAAAAACTCATAATTATTGTTATCATTATAATTAAGCACTAACAGACTCAATATGATCTTTTTTTTTTAAAAGCAGGTGCTGAAAATTCAGGAAAGTTACCTACAACCTGAACCATAAGGCCAAAGTGTTTCAAAGATTACCTCTAATATTTTTTGCATCAGGCAGATCTGACCCAATTACCTGGGATCTACAAATTATTTAAGAATTTGTTTTATGCAAGGTACTAAAGAGATTACAAAAGCGCAAAAATATCTCAGCTCTCACAGAACAGTTTAGTAAGTAAGAAATCAAAAACAAAAAAAAAGGTCTTACAATCATGTGCTATACATAAACTGTACAATGAACACCAATGTGATATTAGTTGCTGAGATCTAAAAAGCAGTACAAAATTATTAAAGAAAACAAACTTATATTTCAGGTAGACCTCAGCAAATGCTTAGAATCAATTTGATTCCCTGTACCTCAATTTCCTCCATGAGGATGTTACCACAGTAACAACAACTAAATGAAATATATAAAAAGCCTCACATAACACTATGACTAGCCCCTACTAAGAACTCAGTACAGTGTGGGGTTGGGGATATAGCTCAGTTGGTAGAGTGCTTGCCTCGTATGCATAAAGCCCTAGGTTCAATTCCTAGCAGCAGCAGCAGCAACAACAACAACAACAACAACAAAAACCTCATGTAAGTACTTTAAACAAAATATAATTTGAAATGTTGACTCTTGAAAGCATATGAACTTCTTTTTCTACTTCTTCCTATATTCCAAAAAGGACCCAGCCAGTGATTTACTAGAAAAGATCCTTACATTATTTGAAAGGGATAGTCTTTAAGATTACCTTGTCAGTCCTGCTGCCACGGTTTGGGCGTCCACCACGCCCACGCCCACCTCGTCCTCCCCTGCCACCACGTCCTGGGCGGCCTAGATCTCCAAAATTGATCTCCAGCTGAGATGTTATGTCATTTGCTGGCTTCCGGAAATGATGGTCCATAACCGAATCTTCAGCGTGAGCCTAATAAATGTTAAGGAAGGGTCACTGGGTAATGCATGAGAAAGTCATGTTGGAAATTTTTCTGAGTAATGAGCTTTCTTCTAAAAATGCTAGCTCTACAACCTGTACTTTGTGTGATCACCATCTCTTAGGTTTGTTAGCTTTGCACTCAGCAAAAGTTGATTTCATAGTAAGAATTCCCTTCATTTTATCTCATATTTCCATGTAAGCTGGAAAGCTATAAACTCAAGTGAAATACTAAACAAGAGGGGAACCCTGAAATGCTGTGCACACAAAAAAACCCACATCTTAAAGGTACCAAAGGAACTTTCTTAAAAATGAAGTGTTTGTAATATCCAGATTTTCTTTCATATATGAGAGAAAAAGGTTAAACGGGAAAAAAAAATCTTTATAATGCTTACCACCTCATTTCTTGTATGTTTGGGATGTATGGGGTTTCAATCTTCTAACTAGAAGTTTACTTGCACTATTTATATTGTATTTCCCCCGCAAATATACATATAATTTATACCTTTTTCTGAAGGGACAATGAACATTTTGTTCTTTCTAACCAACTTAAATATCCTGTCAAAAACTACGCTTTTAAAGTATAAATTTTTGTTTTGCATCCATGCTTTCATCATCGATACTCAAATGTCATCTCTATTCCACACAATATAAAGGCAATAGAAGGTTCTTTTAATATTAAAGGAACCAAAAACAAATGTAAATCCACAAAACACTAGCAAATTAAAAGTCAAATCTTTTTAAGTGCTTGCTATTTCAAATCAATGGTATCAATGCATTAATTAACAGAGCTTTTCTCTTTCTTTCTTAAGTTTCTGGAAAATAGAACCAAATAACTGGTTACAGCAGAAAAAGTTTGTATTGTTCAAGGGACATCTCTAACTTCTTAAGGCAATTACTAGAATAGGAAAAAAAAAATATAGCAGTTTTCTAGAGCATTTAGAGAATCATAACAAGAAATAATACCCTTCAGTTCTATCAGTAACACAATAACTCAGCTCTCCATTTCTACAGCCATGTTCCCCCCCACCTCACATTTGTCATGAAGACACATAAAAGTATTATATACAACATTACAACATTCTTTTTTTTTTTTTAATTTTTAACATTTTATTTTTTTAGTTTTTGGCAGACACAACATCTTTCTTTGAATGTGGTGCTGAGGATCGCAAGCATACCAGGCAAGCGCGCTACCACTTGAGCCACATCCCCAGCCCTATATACAATATTCTTGAAGGCCAAAATATTCAAGAACGGTAAGGCTAGGCCTGATTCACAAAGACTAATTCAAAGACACAAACACTTAGGAGTGACTTAATGTATATTAAGTTTCAAAGTTATTCATTACCAATTTCACATTTTATAATTTTTAGAAATGTCAAATCTTACCTTATACAATTTGGTAGTCCCCCAATCCACAGGGGATAATACATCCGAAGACCAACTACTAGGGATTGCCTGAACTACAGATAGTACCAAATCCTACAAATATTGTTTTTTTCCTATACGCAGGCTACTGAATGACTAGAAGGTTGTGTACACACTGTGGGTACACAGGACAAAGGGATGATTTACATCCCTGGAACAAGAGTTAAAAAGCGTGAGATTCCATCATACTACTCAGAAAGAATGAATGAAATTTACATTTGATTGTGTATTTCTGGAAATAAAGCACAGGTAAGGGGGCACTACTGTAGTTATATTAAAATATTTAAAATCAGGAGAACTAGCCTAATGTCCATGATATGCATGAACTGTAGGATATTAATGAAATTACCTAAAATTACAATTAGAGTTGTATGGGGAAAAGACCAGTTGGGACACCCAAAAGATAAGAATAGGTAAATCTCTTTTTTTTAATATTTATTTTTTAGGTGTAGTTGGACACAGTGTCTTTATTTTACTTATTTATTTATTTTTATGTGGTGCTGAGGATCGAACCCAGAGCCTCACATGTGCTAGTCAAGCTGAACTACAACCCCAGCCCCAAGAATAGGGAGTTCAGTAATTGGTTCAAATGAACACTCTCCTTGAAGGAATGTCCATGGTTCTTGAATAAGATATTTTTATAYTGTTCTACTCAAATACACTAACAATTTTTTCTGTAAGAATTAAAAAAAAAGTGCTGTAATAATGCAAATTTTTTTCTATAAGACTTGACAATGTCTTCATTTATTCATTTTATGATGTTAAAAATCATTTTTTCTCTAAACTTAAAATACACTGGTATTTTAAACCTCGATATTATTCATGTTTCTCAAGCTTGTCTCATTGTCATTTTTATGTTTAATAAAGATCTTACTAAGGACTTGGTGGGCAGAGGGGTTTAATGGCAGAGGTTGTTTGGCCTGTGACACCCTAAGTTCAATCCCCAGCACTAAAAGTAAATATTTAAAATCTTACTGAGTTCTTTTTTATTATGGGTTGCTGATGCCTTCATAACACTTTAAAGCTTACTTTGGATTTCTGGTAGTCAGATTTATGACACAAATAAGAACAAATGTCAAAAGGTTAAAAGTTAATAGAGAAAAGAATTTAGAAGAAATAATGTAGTATTTTGGCCAAGATCCCATACTTAGACAAACCTTAATAGGATGTAACACTGGGACAATTCCTGTAAGAACACGCCCCAAAGCTTGAACAGAAGCTACCAAATAAAAAGCTACCAATGTGACTTTCTAAAATATTTTCATTAGTTTCCATGTTTCTCAAAGAAAAAAGGTAACTCATAAATTGATCATTTGATCTTCATAAGAGATCATCTTCAATAAAGAGCAGTATTTGTAGCATTTGCTGAGAGTTCTAACCATTACACATGCACAGCCAGACAATCTTAAAAGGTGGGTATTAGCCAGGCACGTTGGTACATACCTATATTCCCAGCTACTTGGGAGGTGGCAGGATTGCCAAATTCAAGGCCCCGTCTCATCATCTTAGCAAAACACTATCTCAAAACACACACTCGGGGGCACACACCCCCCACCCTCCCTCCAGATATAAGTCAATGGTAGAATGCCCCCAGGTTCAATATCCAGTTCTAACAAAGAAAGAACAAATGAAGCCCCTTATTTTTTAGGTTAAACCATAAGAAAATTCCAACATTTCAATTAAACTACAGCTTTAAGAAGAAGAAATATTTTTTTAAAAACACTGTCAGGGCTGGGTTGTGGCTCAGTGGTAAAGAGCTTGCCTCGCATGTGTGAGGCAYTGGGTTTGATTCTCAGCACCACATATAAATAAAATACAGGTCCACTGACAACTAACAAAATATTTTAAAAAACCACCAAGTAATTCAATAAGCCATTAAGAGATTTTTAGAAAAAATACTACTATATTAAATACAATTATGGATTAATAAACTAACTAAATTTCTTATAGCATAGTAATTTAGTTTCCCTTCTGAGCAAGTTATCTGTCCCAAATGATCCTATGTAAAGCTTTTGCAAAAAATATTTTCCATATGAAATTTAACGTGAAAACTATAAACAGTTCAAATCACATCTGAACATTTTCAAACATCACAAATTTTAATTTTACCTCTTCACTCTTTGATTTATGAAGAACAAATCCCTTCTTCCATTGCCCATCAGCACCTTCATTTGGTTTTCGGATATTAAATTCTACTTTTGCACGRTCTTTATTTTGAATAGCCTTCCATTCATCCAAAGTCATCTCTTTTGGACCCTCTTCCTTAACTTCTTCAACTTCGTTTTCCCTGTGAAAAGATGTTTAAATTTTATACCTGGTAGACAATTGGCATGATTTTTACTAAAATACCTCAAATATATTATAAGGAAATTAATAATGACTGGTTAGTATTCTTTTAGAGAAAAATTATCATATCCAAGGGCAAAGGTATTAGTTTTTCTATGTAATCCAATGACTAACATATAACATGACAGAGACCAAGAATTCAGTGTTCGTTGATAAGCATAAGTATCTGAGGATTATACAATATATCTTCATATACTTTTTATTTTGGGCGGTGTGGGGCGGGGGCTAACTGGTGATTGGACCCAGTGACACTTTACCTCTAGGCTACATCCCTAATCATCTTCTTTTTTCATCTTTTTTTTGTAGTTTTAGAGGGACAGAATGCCTTTATTTATTTTATGCAGTGCTAAGATTCAAACCCAGTGCCTCAAGTGCTAGGCACTCTGCCCCAGCCCCCTAATCATTTTTATTTTGAGACAGGGTCTAAACTGCTAAGACTGGCCTCAAACTTGCAATCCTCCAGCCTCAATCTCCCAATCTGCTTGTATCAAAGTTGTGCATGACATGCTCAGCTCTTCATAAACTCTTAAATGATTTCTTATCAGTAACACAATCTTAAATTGGCCTTATTATTCCTTACACTTCTTTAAAACTGTACCCTTTGATATGGTTAAAATATCTTCTCCTAAAACGTGTTTTCATTTTCCATAATCCTCCACAATATATAACTCAAAACGGGTTATGATTGAAGATGCACAGTAAGACACCAGACTTCACATTGTGCAATATAAAAGAAATGTTTCTCTTTATTCTAGCAACCTGTACTCAAGGCAAAGTAAAACAAAAGTTTCCACAAATCCCAAAATCTACTCCAACTTTTCAAACCAACCTGAATATGGAACAGAAGACTGAAGTTTCACTGGTTATCAAACTGTTCATAAAACTGTTCAATATTTAATACCAAATTAGTTATTTCCAAATGCAATTCTCAGGTTATAACTACTTTATTGTTAGCCTTTCCTTTTTTTTTTAACAAAGCACTAGAAATCCATTATTTTAGTCTAATCTCAAATTTCTAATTGTCACCAAACAACTTGTTTGCTATTTTGGGAACCTAGCATCTTTCCAAAGATAGCAAGTGATTTAGTTAGCCTTAGTACTCAAATTTCTCTCCTGAAGCCACTCTTTGCTTTTATACAAACCCCATTTTAAAACTTCCTAGAAGTTTATACATAACTGATGGGATCTTGGGCACAAAGTTCAAGTTTGTCAGTTTACTCCGGAGACTGAGGCAGGAGGATCATGAGTTCAAAGCCAGCCTCAGCAACTTAGTGAGGCTCTAGGCAACTCAGCAAGACTCAAATACAAAAAAGGGCTGGGGATGTGGCTCTCTGGCTTAGTGGTTAAGTGCCCCAGGTTCAATCCCCATACCAAATACATACATATATACAAACCAGTCCTGGTCCTTAATTGTGACACAGCCAAGGTCAGAATTTAGCATACCTTTGATCACTGTAAGAATCAAATGAGAACCAAACAGAAGCTGTGGAAACTATGAGTTAGGATGTACTTATTAAATTTACATTTCCATATGCAAAGCACAATACCATATTCAATTTCTCCCCTACTCTAGAATAAGAGTAGACCTAGCAGCTTGGGAGGCTACAACAGGAGCATCTCAAATTCAAATCCAGCCTCAACAGCTTAGCGAGGCCCCAAGCAACTTGGTGGCTCAATGATTAAGCACCCCTGGGTTCAATCCTTGGTACCTTTTTTTTTAAATTATTATTAGAATAAGAGTAGAGACTGCTCTGATGTGATCATTATTTTCTTTACACCAATGATCACCGATTTCACTCCTGGGTCCTGAGTTAAGGATTTGTCTCCAATACCCTACTGATGCATCATTTCCTTCTGGAAAATAGTTACGATCTTTGTGAATCACTCAAAGTGAATTGATCACAAGCTCTTTATTAAAGCAATTGTTGTGCTGAATGTTACACTGAGTTCATCTAACTTAAATTACTATTTCATTGTTTACCACACAAAATTATGATTCCACATAGTTTCAAATAAATATTACTCCAAGTGCAAAACTTCCTAACATCATGCATTTTTATCTACTCTCTCCAACAGTATACAACTTTTCCTTATGCCAACAGGCCCAGGGAATATAATGAACAGAGGTTCATGTAAGAGCAATTTTCTTCCTGGAAAAAGGAAAAATGTAGAAAGGGCATCCTTTCACTGATTGATTTGGATGTTGTCTCTGAACACAGAACCACTGACCTACATAAAAAGACACAGAGCCTATGAAACAGAGCAAAGAACTAAAAAGTGAATCCATATATTTAGAACCAACTGATTTTTGACAGATGCCAAGAATATACACTGGAAAAAGGACAATCATTTCAATTAATAGTGCTGGAAAAACAGTCTAGGAAGACAGGAAAATGAAACTGGATCCCCAATCACAAAAACCAATTCAAAATGGATCAAAGACTTAAATGGAAGAAATACTTCAGGGAATTGGCACAGTCAAAGCTTTTTTGGATATGACCCCAAAAGCGCAGGCAATAGAAACAAAAAATTGGCAAATGGAATTACATTAAACTAAACAGCTTCTACACAGCAAAGGAAGCAACCAAAGTGAAGAGACAACCTACAGAATGGAAGAAAATATTTACAATATTTGCAAACTATTTGCCTAACAAAGGATTAGCAAGAATGCATACACGTACTCAATTCGATATCAAAATAACACATAATCTGATCAAAAACATGGGAAAATGATATGAACAGACATTTCTTCAAAGATATACAAATGGTCAAGTTATGAAAAAATGCCAACCATCATTAATCATCTGCAAAATGAAAATCAAAAGCACAATGAGACATGATATCTCACCCTAGTTAGAAGAGCTATTATCAAGAAGATTAAAAACTGGGCTGGGGTTATGGCTTAGTGGTAGAGCACTTGCCTAGTACACTTGAGGCTCCGGGTTTGATTCTCAGCACCACATGTAAATAAACAACAATTAATTTAAAAAGATAAAAATTTTAAAATGCTGGTGAAGATGCAGAGAAAAGAGAACTCACACACACAACTTTAATGGAAATCAGTCCCCAAAAGAAAGAATGGTTATGTACCTAAAGAAAAATATAATTGGTAAGTCAAAGAGACACCTGAACCCCATGTTTATTGCAGCACTATTCAAAGCTACCAAGACATACAATCAACCAATGTGTCCACTGATGGAAAAAAAAATAAACAAACTGTGGTATATATAAACACACAATCAAATATTATTCAACCATAAAAAGAATGAAATCCTATTTTTGCAGTTAACACTGATGAAACTGGAGGACTGTTACAAATAAAGCAGACTGTTAATACTACACAGAATCCCATAAATACATAAAATTATTACATATCAACTAAACATTTTCAGGAAAAAAAAACTGACCAAAATAATCTATAATCCAAGACTTTAAATCACAACTTACTAAAACAAATGACTAGAATATAACTTATGCTTGGACTGATAAAAAGTTTTAGGAAGGTAAATTCTTTTTTTTTTTGATACTGGGGATTGAAGCCTGGGCCACCTAACCACTGAGCCACATCCCTATCCACTACCTCCTTTTTTATATTTTATTTAGAGACAAAGTCTAGTTGTTAAGGACCTCACTAAATTGCTAATGCTGGCTTTGAACTCATAATCCTCCTGCTTCAGCCTCCCACACYATTGGGATTATAATTGTGTGACACTGTGCCCAGCTATGGAGGTAAATTATTTCTATCAGGATAACTTTAATCTTAAAACAACTCTCACCCTTGAAAAAACAAAAACTTTAAAATCAGAAAATGAACATTAAGAAGGCTGARTAGGAGCTAGGAAGATGGAGCTCAGTTGGTAGAGTACTTTCCTTGCATGCACAAGGTCCTGGGTTCAATCCCCAGCCCYCCCCCCCCMAAAAAAGAAGCCACCTATGTGGGGCAGGTGACAGGGAAGAAGGCTAGTGAATTAGTAACATTTTCATCTTTTGTGCTCCTCTTACATTAGTGATAGTATGTTCCAAATTCTGTTAGTGGAAAAAAAAACTTAGAGATGGAATTTTAAAATCAATATATATTCTAGTTTTAATTGTCTAATTTCAAACTATACAACTTTAAAATGTCAAAATTACTTCAGACTTAAGTACTATGAGTTCCTATTACCCCAACAATTCACACTAATTTTTAGAAATCCCCTACTTTAGCTTCTAGTTTTACCTACTCAATGTTTTAGGACAACTACCACTTAGAATTAAAACATTTCTATCAAATTACAGGTGCACAGCACCTTATTCCTATTTTTCCATTATCAGGTTACAATAGATCTTTTTTTTTCCTTTGGTTAGGATTAGTAGGTTTCACTAAAATATATACACTCCTTATGACAATGGTATTTAACTAATCAAATGGAAGTTAACATTAAGATATCCCATTTTCAAACCATTAGAGCCAACCTTACATGTAGGTGTAAAGCACTATTTTAAATATTATTTGATGAGAGGACAACAAAAATATTTTTATTAAAGAAGCATTAAATAACAGTATTAGATTTGAGTTACCTTATTGGTTAACCAGACTGATTTCAAAATTATATAGCATTACCACCTCATACAAAATCACTTACTTATTTTCAGTATCTGCCACTGGATGTTCTTCACCTTCAGGTGTTTCCTCAGTSGCATTTGATTGATCCAAGTCACTGCAATTATAAGATATTTGTTTCTGAATGTATTTGGGGGACTCTCTAAGGAAAGAAAGAAAAAGAAAAGCATCTAGGTCCATTTACATGTAGTTGAAAGAGTTTGCGTACAATAACAAAAATTTCTACATTAAGTTTTCCTGCTAAAATTCTCTACTAGAGAAAAACAATATAAACCACTGGTTAAGTTAGTTCACATACTTTTAAATCAAAGTTTTATTGGCTTATCATTTTTTAAGTATTAAAGTCCAATAGTTAGAATAGAACTTATTAAACTCAAAGAAATTAGAACATCCAAATAATTYCAATGAAAAGCTATATATTCATACAAAAAAACCAGTAACATACTGATGTGTAGAAAAATTGGTCATTCAATATAGTATAACCCAAACTATCCCATAAGACATTATCTTATTCAATAATAGTTGAGACTAGAGCATACATTCTATCTCAGAAACAAAATTTAATACACATWTAGTTATCTCTAGAAAATTTGTTTTAAACTTGTATCTAGTAAAGGATCAGTTTTATTGAAATTTTTAAAAATCAGAATACCAACGTTAATTCATCTTTGACAGTTCCCCAGTTGTGAGATCCGCTACCTCCACGTTTATCCTCATGCTTCAGGCCACTGTAATGTGAAAAAGAACTAACAAAACTGAGTTAACATAATAATCTTTAGTTTTAGAAATTCAAATTTTATTTTGTATTAAATTAACACATTAAAATGTAAAAATGAAATAATAACCAATATAAGACTTACGATCTATCACTTCCACTATGCCTATCAAATTCACGTTTGCCACGAGAATCAAATCCATCTCCTCGACCCATTCCACGTCCGCGGCCTCCTCGACCCCTTCCAAGACCACCACGACCYCGGATGGGTCGGTCAATAATTGGTCTACAACACAAATTTTAAAAGTATACCTTTGAGGTTTCAAGAAAAAGGAATAGGAGAGAAAACAGAATACAGAACATGCTTACTGGCTCATAACCCAACAGCTAAATACATACTTCAGAAAATTTAAGTGCATTTCTAAACATGTGAACTGTGAAAACCCTCTCTCAACAAATTATTTTAGCATTTTGTAAAACACTACCAGTGCATATACCTTTTCATTTTTATTCACTGTATCGAACCTGCTATTCACCAATACACTTAAAATACATACAACCTACATATCAAGTAATTTGTTTTACTACGAGCAATTAACCAACAGTATTATCCTTTTAAAAACACCTAGGGAGAGTAAGGGGGGAAAAAAAGATCTAAGTTTCAAGTGTTAAAGAAAGGTCTAAGAATAACAATCCTCACATTCAAGATGTTCTCTGGAAAAAATGACAGAAATAATCAGTAACATTGCTTGCTACCTGGAAATTATGCCCAATTTATAGCTTCATGTTAAGATGCAAACATAGCCAACAAAACGTGAAGAGACTTCCTTTTAAAATCTTACCTATCAACTGAAAATTCGCCTCCTTCACCCTTTTCTTCAAGTGGCTTATCAAATCTCCTTTCACGAGGCGGTYGCCTTTCTAGTCTTCTATCAATTATTTTCCCTTCACCCTGAAGTTGTTGATCAGGTCTTCTTCCAACACGTCTTATTCCTAAAAGGACAAATAACCAGCAGAAACAAATTATCTTTGCAAAAACAAAATTTAGGCCAAGGCCATTAAAGAGGCAAACACTGGGCATCCCCAATTTATAACAAAGTACTTTAAGGAAATTCCTACTTATTTTTTAACTTAAATCTAGTTTGCCACCCCCAGCAAGCATTTTCTATAATGCCTTAGAAGTCATTTGGACAGCCATTACTCTTTCCAAAATGTCAGTCTCTTAATTAGGTTGGGGGTATAGTTCAGGGTGAGGCACTTGCAAAAGTTATCTTCCCCACCCCCCCCAAAGTGTAGCTCAGTGATACAGCATGTGTTAGCATGTACAAGGCCCTAGGATCAGCACGTACACACAGAGAGGAAACTTATGGCACTATATGACAGCTGAAGGACTTACTGATTTTTCCCATTACTACTGTTTTCCTGTTAATGTCTGAGGTCCATAGCCCAATAAGGAAACCAATATGAATTACTGATGGCCTTAGGAATAAATAGATGATGGTTAAATACATGACTAAAATTTCAGGTATGCTGTAATTCCCAAGTCAGTTCTGACAAAGTCAAAAATAAGCTGAGAAACGGATTTTACAAGATCTTAAATTACTTCACGTTGATTCTTTCGAAGAAAGTAAAATACCATCAYTATATATCCAAATGCTCACATACCTGTAACTAGAACAAAACTGCAATTATCTATTTTTTTTAATAAAACTTTAAGCTTCAATCCCTGAAAACTCTCAGGACAAACCACAAATACAGACCTTACACCAAAACATTTAAATGAATTTCATCAGAAGTATAATGGTTGGGGCGGAGCTATGCAACTAGTCCTTATAATGATATCCAAGCCAAACACACCCAAATGAACAATGACTGGCTTCCCCACCCAACATTCAGCATTAGTCCTACAAAAATCTAAAAAACTTATTGCCAACACAAAAAATAAACTCATCTAACGAAATGACTGATTTTTTAAAAAATGTAAGCTTCTTCTGATGTACTTATCTCTACTCAAAGTAGATATAGAATTGTGATCAAAAGGCACACAACATGGGTGGATCAGAGTACCTTAGGGATTTTTAATAGGGATTTTGTTTACAGGTCTGTCTCTCCTCAATAACAGAATACTGACAGGTGAAAGGTTTTGGAAATGAGTATTTGTCATCCAACATTTTCCCTACATTTATAAGCTTGTGTTTTATCCAACTTCAGGTTAAGACTGCAAGTGCTCTAAGATACTCAGGAACATATTGATAGCTAATATGGAATAGTTTTCGCAAGGAAAGAATGTCAAAATTAATCCTCCTTATAAATTTACAAAATAATTTCCTACAATTACACATGAAATAAGAACTCATTTCATGGATGTGCTTCATGGTCAAAACAACTTAAGTACCTAAATCATGTTTCATGCTTTGAACATTTAAAATGAACACATTCATCAGGTGCACCTTTGATTTGTTTTAGACTCATTTTTTTCATGTAATTTCTTTGAATTAGTGTGATCAAGGATCAGCATAGTGTAATTAATCACACAAGCCAGAGTTCCTTAACACTGGAATTAAATGCTTTACTCAACTGTGATAAGACTGCCATAAAGCTTAATTGGCTGAATAGATACTTGGCCTAAGTGGTGTATACATGCTTTCTAATACTACAACTTAAGGCTTCTCTCCAGTCTATAATTTTAACACAGGAATTTTTCTTTCCTTCTATTCACCACCTAGATCCTAGACTTTTTCATTCCAATCCCCACAAAAGACCATTTAAAAATATTCTAAGAGATACCTAGCACAAGCTAATGAGAAACAACCACTTTCAGGAGCACGTGGCAGCAAGAGTAATTTCAACTTTCAACATATAAAGGCAATTCTAAAGATTCCTGAAATCTACTTGCTACTGATCATACTCGACTTTTTCTTATCCCCAACTGTTTTGCTCTTTTTCATTCACAAGAAACTAGTAAGGAGGAAGAATGCAAAAATTACAACCCTGTAAAACTCAGTGCCCTGGAACTACTACTAACTGCCTGCAAAATCCTGACCATGCTTCACGCACATGTTGAGGAAAAGCTGCACTCTAAAGAGGTGTGCAGCGGAAAGGTTTGACAGCCTCTGCACTTTCACCCACGAGGTCCAGACCAAGTCAGACCATTTGAAATGGTGAGTGCACATTCGGGAGAATGGATCTTGACACGAGGGCAAGCCTCAAGATTTCCTGCAATAACCAGTCTTCATTCAGCATTCTGCTTAAGCGAGTGTAGCCAAATTCCTCTCTCCCAATAGTATAATTCATTGAAGCAACTTATAATAATATTGTACGAGTTAAAGCAGAGGAGGGGAACAATAAAGCACAGATGGCACCTCAAACAGCATCTTACTTCACAATATCTAGTAGCCTTAAGCACAGAAGGGGCTCAAGTAGAAACTATGAGCCCCAGCTTTCTATTGGGGTACCCTGCGCCATCATGGGACAAGATGGCAGGGCAGGATCCTAAAGCAGAGACCAGCACTTCACAGGAGCACGCTGAGAAAGAGTTCTGCCCAGGAAGCAGCTGTGGATCCCAAGCTTCTCAGCAACTGCAAGAGGCTGCTAAAAAGCGGCTGGCTTCCCCTCACTCAGCCCATGCGCTCGCCCGCCAAGGAATCCGGCGGGAAGGCGTCAGCCCCGCAGCACCCGAGCTAGCACGCTCCCTGCTCCCAGTCAGGGGCGGGAAGAGGGTGGCTCCGCGAACCTTGCAGGCGGCGGCGTGAACTTGGGACTACCAAGCTCCCAGCACCTTCGCAGGACCTGGCTTTTGTCGCGTGGGGAAAACGTGGAGAAATCGGCGGCAAAGTCTCTCGCGGAGCCTCAGAGCTCCAGAAGCAAGTGGCAGTCCCCTCTCTCCTTCCCTCTACCTCGGAACTCCCCACCTCCTACTCCGGCTTTACCTTCTTTCTTAAGAGCCACGGGCGGCTGCGTTTCCTCTTTCTTGTCAGCCACGCCAACGTTGGGGGGCAGTGGGTTCTTGCGGTCTTTCTGGGACTCTTTACGCAGCCGTTTGCCTGCCGCGTTGGAGTTGGTCTGAGCCACGGCCTGAGCTGCGCTCTTGGCCCCAGGTCCCCCAACGCCGCCCCCTCCGGCTTCTTTTTTCTTGTTCTCTGCTGCTTTCAGCACCTCGAAGGGGTCCGATTCATCATCAAATAACTGGTCGAATCGGTTGGTGACCACGCAGCCGAAGCCTTCCTGTAGGTGCCCAGGCATGATGGTGGCTCGGCGGCGCGTTCCTCCACGGATTGCAGCGGGCCGCGCCGAGCCAAGAGCGCCTGCTTCAGCTCTTCCCACAAGATGGCCGGGCCGAGAGAGGGGGGCCGTCTTCTCTTCCGGCGCCAGGCACGCATCCGGGAGCGGCCAGCGTCGCAAGGCACTATGGGGCACGTAGGCCGGAGTCGTTTCTCTTGAGGTGGCTACCCGCGCAGGGACTACCATTCCCAGTGTGCACAGCTCGATAGCTCTTCGCGCGCGCCTGAGAGGCGGGATCTCGCAGTGCGAGTGAAGCGTGCGAGCTGGAGGAGAAGCTTGGTGGTGGGCGGAGTCCTGCCACCTGCTCTTGTCACTCTTAAACACGCTAGGTCTTTAGTTACCCTGAGAACAGGAAAACGTGACGGCACATTTTGTTCACGAAAGTGCTCTGTCTTTGGTTTCACTCGCCCTGTCTCTAGCCCAGGGCTAACTTTCTCCACCTCTGCGGGAGGGTCAAGGTGACTCCCAGACCTCACTACAGAGACTCGCAAACTTCCGGGGGAGGGGGTGCCGCACCGGCTTCCCTAAGGCTGTGCCCGGTCTGTCGCGAGTGCCTAACTACTCTGGTGCTGAAGTCCTTCGTTAGCACTCCATAACGAATTCATGCTCTTCTGTTTAATGTTAGGCGGAATACTGCGCTTCCTCTCTCGGGAACATGAACTCGGGTGCAGAAATAACCAAAAAAAAAAAAAAAAAACAAGTGGAACTATCACATGGGAGTGTTGCGCGCCTTTCCCGGGCATTGCGACCGCTGCTTAAGAGCTGTTAAGCCTTGATAGTGCAGCACTAGGAGCTGTGCAAACCTCCAAAGAAGTGTGTAGATTCACTAGAATCATTCCAATTAATCGGTCTTTAGTATCCTGTAAGTCAAGGCTTATAGGTGGCCGTCATGTTCGTAAATTGTGCTCAAGATATGTTTTAGAGCATCTTGGGTGTACGCGTGAGGGGAAGAAAATACGTTCAAAATTCAGTTAATAATGAATTGGTATTGGTAGTAGTTAAGAATATTAAATCCCACTAAGACATTACAGTGACAAGGCTTATTCAAGCATATTTGATAACACTGTAAATGTTTAAATATGTGGTAATTGTAAAGCCTTTTTCCATTGACATAAAATACAATAGAAAATGCATCTTTCGAAGTGACAGGTGCTAGGTGCTAGGAATAGTTTAATCTCAACGTCTTGTTAGGTAAGTAGTTGCCTCCTTCTTCACAGTGATGGAACAATTTCAGAGGTGAAATGACTTACCACGTTCACACTTCTATATGTGCTGGTGCCAGGCATTAACTAACTCCACTATGAGAGTGCTGGCATCAACCCTTGAATCCAGTCTTTGCCCTGATAGAAGTTAGACAGTTACTGAATTTCCAGCATCTAATAAGATTTAAGCATGGTTTCCTGTCAGGGTATTTTACAAGGGTGAATGTAATATTATCAAATACTGAGATTTTAAATCAATTCCTTAAAAAGAAGACAGTCACATTACATAAAAAATATCCTCAAGTATCCTATTTCCTATTTTTCTTGCCTCTCTATCCTCCCCAACTTCTCAAAGTTGTTTATTTCCCTGTTGTCTCAGTTCCTCCCACATTCACCCCCTTCCCCCCTCCCTTCCATACCTCTGGTTTTTGTGACTCCAACCAAGAGATAATGGAGCTCTTATCCTTGTACTTCCCAAGTTTTGAAAATAGTTCAAGTGCAGTTTGGAAGCTCTCCATACTTCAGCAGCTTTGATTTTTTTTTTTTTTTTTTTTTTTTGGTGTTGGATGGTGGTTACCAGGAATTGAACCCAGTGGTGCTTAACCACTGAGCAATATCCTCAGCCCTTTTTATTTTGAGATAGAGTCTTGTTAAGTTGCTTAGGACCTTACTAAATTGCTGAGGTTGTCTTTGAACCTTCAATCCATCTGCCTCAACCTCTTGAGATACTGAGACTATAGGTGTGTGCCACCTCATCGGGCTACATCAGCAGCTTTGAGGTATCTGCCACAAAAACAATATTAATAACTAATCTTGATATTTTACCATGGTCTTAGTGCAGTTTACATGTGTGACCTCGTTTAATCCTCACATCAACTCTATGAGAAAGGTGTTTTTATTCCCATTTTAAGGCAAGAAAAATGAAGCCCCAAAAGCTGAGTATCTTACCCACCTATACTACAGTGTGGGGAGTGGGAAGAGCCCGTCTGTAGTCATTTTTTTTTTCTCCATTAAAGATCACTGGTTTCCCAGACAGATCCTCATGACCAACAAGCATCATTATACTAAGAAATACGCAGTTCCCAAGGAGAATTGTCTAGCTATGAATTTATGAATCTCACTTATGATTCTCAGAGAATTTACCTATTAAGATAACTTTAAAATGTTATGAATAAACATTTGTGGAAAAAGGGAGAATCTTGTAAGAAACTTTCTCCCCTTCTCTTCTCTTCCTGAATTTTGACTAGTCCAGAAAAGTTTTTAAAAGCCTATTTTAAAGTACAAATGAAGGTTAAGATGGTAAGTCTTTTATATCTTACAATTRTTTTATAACTATTTTCACTAGTATTTCCTTAAAAAGAATTTATAGTGGTAGGTAGAAAGAATGCCTTTATTTTACTTGTTTATTTTGATGTGGTGCTGAGGATGGAACCCAGTGCCACGCACTGCTACTGAGCTAAAGCCCCAGCCCCTAATATTTTCTTTTTCCCCTGAAACAAAAATAGTCTTTAGGGCTGGAGATGTAGTTCAATGGTAGAGTTCTTGCCTAGCATGAATGAGGTCCTGGGTCTGACCTCCAGCACCAATACACGTGCATATCTATAGTCTAAAAATATTTAAAACTTTTACCACTGTCAGTAGGAAAATATTGGTGGAATGATCCTCAAAGGAGGAACAGAGACTTCCTGGAAGACGCTTATTCAAATTAAAAGCATGATTTGTAAAACAGCAAATTTGTTATAACACTGATTAAAAAATGTGACCTAAAATATCAGCTCTGTAGGAGTGCTTGAATCACATCATGTTCTTTGAAAAATACTCCTGCATCTTCACAGTATTATCTGTAGCAATCCTTTCTAAAGACTATTCTAGCAATAAATGCTGAAAACTATCCAAATACCTTGATTAAATATCCAATACAGTTGCCCGATGTTAGCAAAACTGAGAAATAGAATATTATATATCTTTCCAGCCCTCACTTGCTTTAAGGATGCCAATACTCAGTTCTCAGCCACATTGCAATCTTATGTTCATGCATTTTTAAATAATCAATGCTCTATTGTTACTGTATGTAATAATTAAAAACTATTATAAGYTCTGTTCTAGACACTGTGCTGTATTTATATGCCTTATTCCTTTAATCTTCAGAATAATAATTATAAAATAAATAGTAGTACTACTTCTGTCCTTTTACCAGATAGGCAAACAGAGGTTAATACCTCTCCCAAATTCACCTTGACTAAAATCTAGACAGTCTGTTTTTGTAGCGTGGGCACCCAATCTCAAGGGACATAGTCTTTCATCCTTATGTTGCTGCATATGTAGCAAAATAAAATTATTATTTTGTTCTTAACACTTTGGAGATATTAGAGACAACTGTCACATAAAAGTAAATAAGAGACGTTTTTAGTGTACTTGTAATATATAATACATTTTGAAAACAAAACAAATAAAGGTGGTTCATGTGAAGAAAAGGGCAAATCCTCTGAGGATGGAATGCTAAGTATAACATTGCAGGTCTGGGCTCTTGCTAAAGTTAGAACATCAAAGATAAAAATAGAAATATACACTCCCTATTTTGCTACCTCAAACTTACTTTGAAGAGTGAGCCTCTTGATTTTTAACATCTAGTCCTTTTTTCTTACATTATCCTCTTTAAACAAACCAACAAAAACTAATCTTAAAAAAAGAAAAAATAAAAACAGATTTATTGAGACATAATTTATAAGCCATTCAATTCGCCCATCTAAAGGGTACTATTCATAGTTTTTAGTATATTCACAGAGTTGYGTAATGATCCACAACTATCTAACTTTAGAACATTTTTATCATCCCCAAAAGAAATCCATACTCATTAGCAGTCACTTTTTATTCCCTCCATCCCCAGCCCTAGGCAACCACTAATGTACTTTCTTTCTCATATATTTAGCTGTTCTGCACATTTCATAGAAATAGAAGCATACAATGTGTGGTCTTCTACTGCTGACTTCTTTCACTTGCCATAATGTTTTCAAGATTCATGCATGGTGTAGTCTGAATCAATATTGCATTCTTTCTTAAAGCTGAATAATATTCTATTGCATGAATAAACTACATTTTGGAAATTTGGATATTTATATTTGGGCTATCATGAATAATACTGTTATGAATATTTGCTTATAGGTTTTGTGTGGGTATGTGTTCACTTCTCTTGAATCTATGTTGAGAATGGAATTGCTGGTTCATGAGATAATGCCAAACTCCATTATTAACATGTTGAGGAACTGGCCAACTGTTTTCCAAAAAGGCTGCACCATTTAACAATTCCATGAACAATTATGAGGGTTCCAATTTCTTCATTACATGCTGGTTGAGAGAAACAAGATGTAAACAAGTAAATACTTCAACAGAATAATTTTCAGAGAGTAGTAAGTACTAGTGGGGTGTAATGTGAAGAGTGGACAACATTTTTGGATATTTTGGTGAGAAAGCCCACTGAGCTGAGGCCTGAATCTGGAGAAGAAACCCATCTTTGCAAAGATTTAAAGAAAAAGCAGAGAAAAACAAACAAACAAAAACAGCAAGCAGGAAAGCATGATGTAGGAAGGAGTTTATAGGTTCCAAGACACAAAACAAAACCAAAAATCTCTTCATGTCTCTAGCCAAGTGACAGTAAGCTTGGGGAGGTGAGCTGGGGAACACAAAGGTACTTAAGTCTGTGTGTGCTTTCAAGTTGCTTCCGGTTTTTCTATTAAAGAAGATCCTTCAGCTAACATGGTAATCAAATTGAAAATTTAAACCAAGAAACTATTCGGTAACCAAAATTTTCATGCATTATTCTAAAAGAAGCCAGATCAGCTACATTCTTAAAGCTCTAAGCTAATATCTTAGGTTTGCTTTTTTT